GCAGACCCTCATCCATTTAATATTGAAGCTGGTCTCCGCAAGTTCATAATTAAAAAAAGTGATTTTGATGTATTAAGAATAATATTTTATAATAATATTAATAAAAATTTTCTTCTAGGAAAGATATTTTGTGCTTCAAAATTAATACTTGATGTAGAAAATAATAAGTTTAGAATAACTCCAATAACTAATGATGTAGATCGTCCTTCTATTCCAGCTTTTTCACTAGTTGCAAAATATTATTCTTATCAATTAAAAGAAATACCAGAATTACCAAAATATTTAAGAGATTTTGATGAAAAAATAATAAAATCAGAAGATATAATAAATTTTGTAAAAGAACAAGAACCAGAATATATTGATAATTTAAATAATAAAATAATATTTAAAGAATTTTATAATAATGAAGAAAAATTGACCAGCTATAAAAATGATTTACATAAAGATAAAATTTTTTTTGTAATATTTGAATATAATGATGATATTAATAATAATCATTATTATATTGGTGTACCATTGCAAAAAAAATTGTAAATGTACAATAATTAATAATGTAATAATAGATTATGAATGTGAAAAAATATCATATCAATATAATGTTGAGAAATATTTATTAAATATAAATGGTATTGAATATTTAACAAAAAATTTATTTGGTATGAAAGTATTAATAAATGATTTATTAGAAAAATTACGTATAGATATAAATAATAGTATAAGTAATGAAGAAAATTATCGAAATAAATCAAATGAAGAAGTAAAATTATTAAGATGATGATATAATTCTTTTTTAAGAGAAGAATAGATTTATGTGGGTTTGTTTAAATTTCTTTAATCAATTTAAGTAGGAAATAATAATTGCATGAGAAAAAAATGTGTATGAGGATTTTGTTTGAATAAATGAAAAAAAAAACTTGAGTATAAAATAATAATTGCTTGAAAGAAGATTTATCAGAGTTTATTTTATTTAAATACTTAAGTTTGAGATGATAATAATGATGATGATTTTTATTACGATTATCTTATAAAAGAAAATTTAAATGGGATTTTTATTAATGAAATAAATTAAGTAAATTTATGATAATATAATTACTTAATATATTTATTAATATTGGAGTTGGTGGTGTTTTTAATTGGTTGAATTTTTTAAATAAGTTTTTAATGACAACTATTTGAAAATTGAATGTGGGTTTTTTGATTTGTAAAAAAAGAAAAATTTTGTTTTTAAAAGTGATAAAACTAATTAATTATTTAGTTGTTTAAAATAGTACTAATAATTATTATGTTTAAGAAATAATTAATATTTGTACTTTTATTTTTCTATTTACTATTATTATTGTTATTATTATTTTTAATATTAGTATTAACCTGTAATTATTTCTATTATCATTATAATTATTAACATTATTAAATCCTATTATTAATAATAATGCTATAACTATTAATCCTATTATCAATGTATTATCTAATAGTTATTCTTATATTTTTTTTTTTTTTTTCTTTAAAATCAAAATTATATAAGAAATTTATCTATTTATTTATTAAAAGAATTAATTAATTGATTTTAAAAGAAAAAAAAAAAAAAGAGATGAAAAGAAAAAAAAAAAAAAAAAGAGATCTTGATTTGACATTATATGAAAATTAATAAAAATAAAAGAAAATAAAATGTCTTAATATTACCGCATAAAATGATTAAATAATGATCTTAAATTGACACTAAAAATAAATTATTTTGTATTAAAAAAAAAAAAAAAAAAAATTATAGATAAATTATTACTAGTAATATTAATATTATAAAATAAAGATGAATTTTATTAATTATTTAATATTATTATTATTATTATTTAAATATACATATGGAATGAATCTTTTTACCATATTTACTAATGATCGTCATCATATGACACTTTATGAACAACATTTTGTTCCATATGATATTAATAATAATACTATAAATGATACTATTAATAATAATTACCTTGTTGCAATTACACAAGGTAATGAATTATTAACATTTCCATTTTTAAATAAATATAATATTACTTTAAATTGTAATAAAGTATATCCTTATCCATTTAATTATTATCATTTAACTAAAAATTATGGACCTAAAAGTGATTTTGAAGCATTAAGAATAATATTTTATAATAATATTAATAAAAATTTTCTTATTGGAAAAATATATTGTGAATCAAAATTAATATTAGATGTAGAAGATAATAAATATAGATTAACTCCAATAAAAAATAATAATAATAATAATAATAATACTAATTTTATGGATATTTATAAAGTTAATTCAATAGTTGCAAAATATTATTCTTATCAATTAAAAGAAATACCAGAAATACCAAAATATTTAAGAGATTTTAATGAAGAAATAATAAAATTAGAAGATATAATAAATTTTGTAAAAAAACAAGAAGAAAAAGAAGAAGAATTAGAATATATTGATAATTTAAATAATAAAATAATATTTAAAGAATTTTATAATAATGGT